GACGTATCATACCTTAATCCCATTTATTACGTTGAACTTATTGCTTAATATGGCTAGCAATGTAGAGTTAAAATTTAATAATAATATTCAAACAATTTTGTAATTAAAATTAATAAATTTATAGTCCAGTGAAATTTTTCAATAATTTTTTCTGGACATTTATGTATAATACATAATACTACTTTAAAAAATGAATTTACTTAAACATTTTATTTTATAATATAAAATAATATATATATATATATATATATATATATATATATATATATATATATTGACGAAACATAAATTCAATCAATAATTATATAAATTGACGAAACATCAATTCAATCAATAATTTTGAATGGAATGATAAAGAAATAAAAATCTTATATCCATTAGTGTCTACAAAATTTAAAATGTTAACTAACTATTATGTCTAAATTTTAATTTAATGTAATGGAATAATGTAGAGAATTAAATTAAAATGTATTAACAAAAGTTTAATAGTTGAGTACAGTTGATTTGCACTGTGACATTAGGAATTAAGTAGTTGTACAGTTGATGGAGATAAGTAAAGTAAAAAAAAAAAACGAACAAACCCTAATTAATGCCTATCTAGCAAATTTCGAGCCGTAACATAAGTGGAAAAAAATGCCAGCTCCGCCGAAATATCGACTGCCTTTGATAAATCAATTTCAAAAGCCAATACCGTCGACCTAATAAAATACATTCCATTTTTTTTATAATTATATGGAAATTAGGTGGTGGGCATTTGCATGGTCGCGAATCCGGTCACTTTTCATAAATTCTTGTTTGATAAAATAGCATTTTAAGCCCCGAGTCTGCGCCTATGGGGAAAGGGGCTAAAGCGCGTACACTTAACAATAAATTTCCGGATGCAAATGAAAATTGCGCAGCAATGTTCGAACGATTTTACTTGGCTCGTATACTATAAATAATATGCTTTTAAACATGTGCAACTTGACAACAACAGCAGCAGCGGCAGCAGCAGCAGCAACAGCAGGACCCAAAGCAGCAGCAGCAGCAGCAGCAGCAGCAGCCGCAATGTCATTGACATTGATAGTCGGTCGCCAGGGAGTCAGAGGGAAGTTTACAGCAGAGGTCACGATACTATCACGATAATCGGCGTTCGATAATATTCGGTCAATAAATTGCTTGCACCGGCCGCCCCGATAATGCCGAGGATTTATATTATTGGATGAGAGCGCGAGTCGGCCGTTTTTAAATGCTCGCACGTCGGGGGCAATTTGTTTTGGTTTTGAAGCACATTTGTTTTGATTTACATTTTTTGGTGTATTTTTAGGCTTGAAAGAGCAGGAAGAAAATTGGTCGCCCAATAGTTCTTTAGTACTGTTTCGGGAATTTCGTTCATTGACCGATCGCTATCGTTCGTGTAGATTTTTTTATAATTCGTCACGGGATTAGGCTTATCGGAATCGGCATACAGCATTTTAGGTGACTTTATGATATTTTCCTGTTAATCGGATTGTTGACTCGAATGTTTGATAAACTAGCTAAACAAGCTTGCTTTAAAGGGCAAGAAGAAATAATGATATTTATTTACGATACATCCAAGTATGATAATATGGAAATTGTGAAAACGACTTGTGAATGATACGCTTCTTATCTAGTTTCGCTGCATGAATTCTAGCATTTTCCATTGACAATCACTAAACGTTTTATATAAAATAGAGGAAAATTAATTGTTCAAATGAAACCTCAAATTCGTATCAAATGATTCTTTATGCGTTATCTATAACAGTATGTTATCTCATAAAGATATAATAAAAATTTATATGATATTTATATCGATTATAGATGTATTATACTCCATCCAATCCACATTCATTCTTCTTATTCTTTGCAAAATCTTGTAAATGTTTTTTTTTTTTTGTTGTTGTAATTTCTTGCATCACTATATATGTGACCAAAGAAGATATAAGAATTGCAAAGAAACAATGTTTGTACACTAAATTTTCGTATAAAATATACGTTCAGCGAATACGTTATTTCCTTGTACAATA